CACTTACTTTCAATAGTGCCAAGCATTTGACAAAAACTCTAGGGATCACGGGGAACGCCAAGACTCCATAATAGCCAGTCCTAAACATCCCAAAGAGAGTGGCAGCAAAAAGAAGTACTAGAACAAAAGAAAGGCTCAATATTCCTAGGAGCCCTCAAAGAAACAGCAAACAATGGCACTCCATGTTGCTACCATTCCTACTGTCACTCCTGCTGCTCTAGCACCTCCTATTCGATACGTCGGGAACCTCCCGAGGTGCAACAAGCAATTTCCATCACCACAGACCATGCCGTGAGATGCAGTGCACCAACCGCAACAAGAGGGGGCATATAGCCCGCTTCTGTAAGACACATGCACAGTCTAATGCTCAAACCCCCGGAGCTGGAGTAGGCCAGACCTATTATGGTGTGGTGAAATTGGGCATTACAAGAGGGATTGCCCCAAATCAAGAAAAGATGGCAACACAGGAAGAGTACTAGCAATGGGCCAGGAGGAGGCAGTAGCGGATCCCACCGTAGTCACGGGTACGTTTCTCCTCGACAACTCTTATGCATGCATTCTCTTTGATAGTTGTGCGGAGAGGAGTTTATTTAGCCATAAATTCAAACACTTACTTAAACACAAACCCCAATCACTAAACCAAACATTCACTGTCGAGATGGCTAAAAGGAAAAGAAAGAGCACTAACGACATATTCATAGGCCGTACCCTCCACTAAAACGACTATTCCTTTCCAATCGACCTTATGTTGGTCTCCATAAAAAGCTTGGACATCGGCATGGATTGGTTAAGTCATCACTATGCTAGTATTATATGCTATGAAAAAGCCATTCGCCTTACTCTGCCAAATGGCAAAGCCCTCGTTATCTACGGAAATAAACACAGTACGAAAATTCGCATCATTTCGTGCATCAAAGCCCAAAAATACCTGCAAAAGGAGTGTCATGCATTCCTAGATCATGTAGATAATGAAAAACAAGAAGTTAAAGACCTCAAGAGCATCCCCGAAGTTTGTAACTTTCCTGATATCTTCCCCAAAGATCTTCTACGAGTTCCTCCTGAACGCCAAGTCGAGTTCTGAATCGACTTGATTCCTGGAGCTACCCCCGTAGCCAAATCCCCGTATCGTCTAGCACCAACAGAGATGCGGGAATTTCCCAACCAACTAAACGAACTGCTCAGTAAGGGATTCATTAGACCAAGCTTCTCACCCTGGGGAGCACCGGTCTTATTCGTGAAGAAGAAGGATAGATCTTTCATAATGTGCATAGACTATCGTGAACTAAACAAGCTCACCATTAAGAATCGCTAACCTCTACCCATAATAGACGATTTGTTTAACCAACTCCAAGGAGCGAGCAACTTTTCAAAGATCGACCTGAGATCAGGGTACCATCAATTACGAGTCCAGGAGAGTGATGTTCCCAAGAAAACATTCTAAACTTGTTATGGTTGCTACGAGTTTGTAGTGATTCCCTTTGGTCTGACAAATGCACCCACCATGTTCATGGACTTAATGAACCGGGTGTGCCTTTCTTTCCTCGACAAATTCATGATAGTATTCATAGATGATATACTTATCTATTCTCAAAGCAAGGAGGAACAAAGTCAGCACTTGAGACAAGTTGTAGAAACATTAAGGACAGAGAAACTATATGTGAAATTCTCAAAGTGCGAGTTTTGGATTAGGAAAGTAACTTTCCTTGGTCATGTGGTTAGCGAAGAAGGCATACACGTGGACCCTTCTAAAATAAAGGTAATCGAGAATTGGTCAGCACCAAGAACGCCCACATAGATCCGTCATTCCTTCGGTCTTGCTGGCTACTATCGCAGTTTCATACAAAACTTCTCCAGAATCGTTAAACGTCTTACTACCCTGACTCGGAAGGGTGTAGCTTCTAGTTGGGGTGAGAAACAAGACACTGCATTCCAGATACTATAGCGAACCCTGTGCAACGCACCTATCTTATCTCTTCCAGAAGGGATAGAGGACTTCATAGTATACTGTGATGCATCCAATCAGGGGCTAGGCTGTGTGCTTATGCAGGGAGTAAAGGTTATTACTTATTCCTCGAGAAAGCTTAAGGCTCACGAAGTCAACTACACCACTCACGATCTTAAGTTGGGAACAGTAGTCTTTGCATTAAAAATCTGGAGACATTACCTTTACGGTACCAAGTGCACTATCTTCACCAACCACAAAAGCCTTCAACATATTTTGATCAGAAAAAACTTAACGTGAGATAGCAATGATGGGTAGAGCAACTCAATGATTACGAATGTGAAATTCGCTATCATCCTGGAAAGTCCAATGTAGTAGCAGATTCCCATAGTTGAAAGGAGTACTCAGGTCATTGGGTGAAGGCGCTAACCATGAAAATCCATTCCCATCTGTCCACACAAATCAAAGCAGCTCAACTAGAAGCCTTAAAACCGGAAAATGTGGCAGGTGACGCCTTAAGAGGAATAGAGAAGAACATTGAGATCAACAGAGACGGAGTTCGTTACTTCATGAACTGGATCTGGACCCCAAGGTTTGGTGGTTACATGGACGTAGTCATGAACGATGCACATAAGACTCGATACTCCATTCACCCAGGTTCAGACAAGATGTATTTGGACCTCAAGAAACTATATTGGTGGCTGAAAATGAAAGCAAAGATAGCTACCTACGTAGGAAAGTGCCTAACTTGCGCCAAAGTCAAGGTAGAGTATCAAAATCCCTAAGGTTTACTTCAACAGCCAGAGATAACTGAGTGGAATTGGTAGCGGATTACAATGGATTTCATTATCAAGTTACTCAAGACAACGGGTGGCCATGACACAATTTGGGTAATCATCGACAAATTAACCAAGTCCGCCCACTTCCTGCCAATCAAAGAAACAGACAAGATAGAGAAATTAACCAAAACTTACATCTGAGAGATAATACGACTGCATGGTGTGCCCATATATATTATCTCAGATAAAGACAGTAGATTCACCTCGTGATTTTGGCAGTCACTACACAAAGTTTTGGGGACTAGGCCGGACATGAGTACAGCCTACCACCCACAAATTGACGAGCACATTAAGAGAACCATTCAAACACTAGAAGACATGTTGAGAGCCTGTGTGATTGAATTTGGTAAAGCATGTGATACCCATTTGCCACTTGTCGAGTTTTCATATAACAGTAGTTATCACTCTAGCATCAAGGTTGCTATGTTCGAAGCCCTCTATGGTCGTAAGTAGAAATCCCCTTTATGTTGGGCTGAAGTGGGTGACACGCAGTTAGCTAAAGGTTAGGTCCCTGACAGCACTCTCACTGGTATGGAGATCATTTGGGAAACCACAGAAAAGATCGTAGAAATCCAAGAACGACTGAAAGCCTCTAGAGATAGAAAAAAGAGTTATGCAAACAAGAGATGAAAACCTTTGGAATTCCAGGATGGTGTCTGCGTTTTGTTGAAGGTCTCACCCTGGAAAGGCATGATACGCTTCGGAAAGCATGGGAAGCTAAACCAAGGTACATTGATCCATTAGAGATTCTCTCTAGAATCGGCCCGGTAGCTTACAAACTCCGTTTACCTCAAGAACTTAACAATGTACACTCTGTCTTCTACGTCTCAAATCTAATGAAGTGCCTATCTGATGAGAGTCTTGTGATTCCACTTGATGAAATCGAGATAAAAGAGAGTCTTAACTTTGTGGAAGAACCAGTAGAAATCACTTTGTGGAAGAACCAATAGTGAAGGTTCGCTAGAATGCCAAGCATGGACCTGAATTCACTTGGGAGTGACATGATCATATGCAATAGAAGTACCCTCATCTTTTTCCCTAGTCCATGATGTATTCACTATATAAAGAATTCCGGGAAGAAATTCCCTCAAACAGGGGGATAATGTAACAACCCGTCATTCTCAAATCAGTAAGATTCAAAAACGCATTCCAATATGGATTGTGTTGTGTTCTTTATTGCCTTAAGGGCATGTTTATAGATAACCGTAAAAAATGTGTAACATTTGGCACTTGTTTGTTGAGAAAAGAAGACTATGACTCTTACTCTTGGCTGGTTAAGGCCTTCTTGAAGACATTTACAAAACCACCTACACTGATATTATCAGATGAGGATCCAGCATTGTCTAAAGCTATTAATGAATTTATTCCAACAACACATCACAGACTTTACATGTGGCATATAACTAAAAAGTTACCAAACAAGGTACAATTTAATTCTCATACTCGTATAATAATTATCTAACCATACCATTTACATTAGAATCATACCTGTTCTTAAATAATTGACAACACTTTCCATTCTTCCAGAATCTCATTTCTGGTTTCAAATTTTCAACATTCTTTTAGAATTAACAAACTAATCATTTTAAAACAACATATGATGATGCCTACTCCAAACTACCTAACTTTGAAGCCTAGTAGAACCAAAGCCAAATGCCTATTATCACTTTGATTATAATTAAATTACAAATTACATTCTGATATTGACATAACATCATTCTAACAGAATACACGAACTGCATGTTTCACTCTACATAATTCAATAAATTCTTACCGTATTCTAGTAGAATATGTACAATCACCACATCATAATTACCAACAACATCAAAAGAATCTCAAACAAAAATTATCAAACATTATTCATTCTAATAGAACACACATACTATATTTTTTCTACCCCCCCCCCCACACACACACACACACAATCCATGGTGCATACTACAAAAAAACCAAATTCTAAAAACCTACTATACCAAAATCGGATTCATAGTTACAAAGAACTTATACTTTACATTAAATTATCAACTTAACATCATTCTAATATATTACGCAGCTTCTAATTATCAATTTTCCAAATTCATTACAAAGTTAACATATTATAAAAGAATATGTACATTCCCGAAACACTATCTACCACAACATTATCAACTTAACATCATTCTAATATAATATACAACTTTTCATTATCAATTTTCCAAATTCATTACAAAGTTAACATATTAAAGAATTGACAACACTTTCCATTCTTCTAGAATCTCATTTCCTGTTTCATAGTAAGGCATTCTACATAGATCATCACCTTCCATTGCTAAACCCATCATCTTATGCACAAGCTCTTTTGTTATTTCAAGCACTCCATTCTCCATCATAAGCCTATTGCTTTCTGGATCGTACACATCTAGAAGATAATAGTTTAGCAATCCTGGTACAACATCCATATCTAACTTCAATAATGAACCAAATCCCATATCATAAACTGCTTTTTTTTGTGTTGGTGACAACACTTTAACAATTGCATTAATCATACTTTGTGTCATTCTTCTAGGTAGCTTTCTTAAACCCGGTGGATAGTCTCTTTCAACTTTTCTGATCTTATCATTCACCTTCCTTACCTTTTATTTTCATTTGTTATCATCTCCTCCAACCCAACTTTTTCATGTTTTCCTTTACATTTTTTTTCCTTCTCGTTCTGCCTTTTCCCATTCTAACAGAACATGCACCTTCTCAACTTTTGTCTTTGACCTATGTAACCTTTCTTATATTAAAACATTTAAGGGACGTGATTTTTTCTTCTCTGGGGTTGATCTTGATTACTACTGATGTTTCTTCTTTTTCACACTTGTACATGGAATTACTATTGTTTCTGCAATCACTGCATGACAAATACCATCTTCAAACCATTACATTAACATTATAAAAAAATAATCACTTTCTATTCTGCTTATATTCTTAACTACAATACAATACTTTGTAAACAGAGCATTGTAACAATGTTGAAAACTAATTCAACAAAACACATTCCATAACATTACCTTTTATTTAAAGAAACAAGTTCCTATACATAACTTTTCTCAATCTAACAATGAATTATCACAGAATGGAATGTAATGATTTGACTAGTTCACCAAGTCACATGACCAAAAACACTACAATATTAACCTTTATTTAAAAAATAGTTCGACCAAAACACAAGAATTCAAAAACTACAAAAAATTTCATTAACCCACAATACACAATTCTGTAGGAATTAAATAATTAAACAAGTTCCTTTACACAAGTGTTTTGTATTAAATATCGTATTTGGAGAACAAACACACAAATTCTACAAGAAAAAGTTTATTAAAAATACATAATGATTATAAACAAAAAAAATTCAATTATTGATACTAATGAAATGAAGGAGCATATTAAACCATTGAGACTACAATACTATTCTAACTTCATACCACTACAAAACCACAATAAATCTAAAAGAAACAAATACACTCCAGACGAAACTTACTCAATCCATTTGAATCTTACTGAATCCATAAGAACAATATCCCAACATATGTTTCATACTACAGAAAAAACACATTTGCCATCACACATGCAATCAAACGGAAGAAACTAATATCTCACTGAAAACCCCTTTGACAAAAACCCTCAAGCTTTCACAAACAAAAAAAAAATCATAAAATTCTCATTCTATTTACATAACGATTAATACGTACAGTTGGGGATACGAAACCGTCATCATCGTCTAGATTTAAAGCAGTTTTCTCCGTGTTCGTGAACTTAGACTTGAACGAGGTCGACCTTGTTGATCGCATTCTTCCAGAAACTGTATCACAAAACAAAACCCTATAGATGTTTTTTCGAAAAATTAAGTTTCAGATGATAAAGGATTAACAAATGTAATACCTTTTACGAAATTGCTTCTTCTTTCTTGATTTTAAATCGTAAGAAACTGTGAGCTTTGATAAACACGAAGGTAGCTTCGGCTTCCGTTAAATTGGGGATTCTCAAAATCTGTTCCTAAATAAACTATATATTTCCTAATTAGATGGAATGGTAACCGGAATGGTATCCCTTCTTATTTAATACACTATTTACAGTTAATATCTTTTTTTAAGTAAAAACAAATACTTTAATATAAGAAAAACACTTGGTACACAAACAATCTTTACATCCACACAATACTTAGAATCCACGTTATAACCTAAGCATATATATATATATATATATATATATATATATATATATATATATATATATATATATATATATATATATATATATATATACCCGTATTATTTTTACAAATGCATATTTATAGAAAAATATACATATATCGCACATAAAAAAGTTTACAACTACTTTTTTACATTTCTTTTATATATATATATACATACATATATATATATATATATATATATATATATAGAGAGAGAGAGAGAGAGAGGTTCAATTAAGAAAATAAAAAAAGTTGACAATTAGGGAATCATTCTCAGCCACTCATTTAATTAGCCTCTAAACATAAAGGATACGGTGGCAAACTTGTAAATATGATATAATAACCTTCAATCACAAATACGAATAGTTGAAATTCATTCGTTTTTTTCTCTTTCAATCCAACCTTCAATTCTGTTTGAATACGAACGTATCTTCAAAATCTATGATTAATTATACTCCCAACATCATTAGAACAACATCATCGATAATCAACAAAAAATTCAATTTGTATCATTCATTCAACATCGTTCATCAAATTAAACATCGAAATTAAGGTTTGAAAAAGATCAAATCATTTTTTGTTTGAAATTTTCATATATTTCACTACCAATCTACTGTTTTGTAGGATTTAAGTAGTCAAAGTATCATATTATCACATTTTTAAAAAAGTTAACTTGTATACACTCCAACTGTTTG